CGGAATTTTTCTACTCGTTGCACCAACGTGTGAAATGAAAAATTTTGAGTATAATTCGTCAACTTCATGTTGCCATTATTGGCGATTTCTTGCGCAAATGGCTTTTTGTGTAGGTATTCTTCATACTGCCAGTAGTGAACCATTTACCATTTGGAGGAAGAACTCAACACAGAGAGAAAACAAAAGACGGTTTACAATTTTGGGCTGCCCCTTTTAAATTTTCAGCAGACCAATTAGGAAATTCAGACTTTCTGGTTTTCAATTGAAATTAATATGACTTAGAAATATTTTTTAAAAACAGCCACTGTATAAATAACTGCGTGCCATTTTTTCTTTAATACAAAAAACTTAGAAAAAAAATACTTTCACACTTTTCCAGTAAAACCACAAATTAAAAAGTGACCAATCGGTCGTAAAGGGTTAAGATTTTTATTTGGGGAAATCATGTGCCAATCAATAAAAAATAATTTTATTTTTAAGTAATCTACTTGTTTGGTCATAATTAATTTTTGTCATAAAAATGCCTTTTAGCTTAAACGAACTCCGCTAAAGAGCTTAAAAAATTAAAGATTAAAAAATTAATGCTAACTGTAAACGTCGAATTATCATTTGCACCAATTAATTTAAAGTAATAACAAACAAAAAATCAACAAAAACAAAATTTACATTACTTTTTTTCGCAACTAGGCTAAACAAAGAAAAAACTTAAAACAGCAAGTACCGGCAAAGTCAAAAAATTTCCGCAAAGCGAAATAGAAAAAAATTAAAATTTTACGCAATTGCTGCGTACACATACTCAGCTAAGCAGCCAATTTTGAACACTTTGTTATTGTTATACTTGTTCTTTTTTTTTAATATTTTTCTTTAATTATTCACTGCTGTTTGCCTTTTATTGCCTCTCGCTTTATTACTTAATTTCGGTTCAGCTTTTTTCGGCACACACTCACATTACACAAAACACTTTGTTGTTGTGACGGCTGAAAAGAAGACGCAGACTGCACTTGAAGAGATAGAAAAGCAACAACAACAAATTTTAGCGTCTCGCAGTTTACTTTATCACTGTTTTTTTTTGCTGGTACACAACCTTTGCTAATTTACAGCAAAATTTTCAACAAATTTGGATTTTCAAGTTGTTTATTGCAATCAAAACACACACGCGGCCGACGTATACCTATTACTTCTGTTTTTTTTTTACGGTTTTCAATAGAAAATAACACGCAATGTCCGTTTCCGTTGCGCAATGTGTAGACCGCGCTACAAACTTAAAAAAAAAATTAGTTTGAAAAATTTTTTTTTTTCGTTCGCAATTTTACTGTGTTTTGAAGCACTTGCTCGCTCAGCTTCAGCCACGATTCGCTCCGTTTCGATGCGCTACGCTTCGATTCTTCGGTCTCGTCTGCCTTCTGGCTCACTTTTGTTTTGTTGCTGTTTTTTTTTTTTTGTATATTAACTGCTTTTGTTTGTTTACCTATGTATGTATGCATGTATTGTTGCTATTGTTGTAGTTGTTTATTTACTTTTGGTATCGTTGCCACTTTGACAATTGTTTATCCTCTACCGCTCGAGACATTCGCCCACTTTACTACTCAATTTAGCTATTGTTGTAAATTCTCAACTTAACAGGCAAGCAACAATAATAATGCACAAACACCTTGTGATTTTACAAGCGTAAAGTATTTTATATCTTTTCAGGTTCTTCTATTTATTCATGTACTATGTATTTTTTTGCTCTGTTTCAGACCGCTGTGTTAAGAATTTTTCAAAATTTGGTACACGCATAACCATCCGCTTCGTACAACCGCACCGTGTGGAATCTAAAAGACAACTGAGCGCACAAGCCCAAACAACGACATCATAGCAAGTTCCGCACACGACCACCGGCCAGACAGGCAGTCAACTAGCAAAGCTAAAGTGCCACCAGACGCCACCACCCCCCTCAACTAAAACAAACCTCTTTATTGCGAGCGAGCTTCATGCTCTGCTGTCGGTAGGTGAGCATATCCATTTAGCATTCTATTGGGTTGTATCGAATTGGATTTGGATTGTATTGAATTGGAGTATCTGAGCATCTGCGAGTTACGCCTGTTTGTTGGCTTGCAAAAGCATCTGACAGTGGCGGTTTCTTGCTACCTCGTGGGGGAGAGTCGGCTATGCTGTCGGTAGGTGGCATATGGCGGTCTTACATATTGCCCGGTGGTGGAACGCATTCGATGCGGTTTATGCTCTTCCAATTGGTTATGCTCAGTCGATGGTAGCATGAGAGTTGATGGTTTTCATATAGGGGAGTGTTATTATATAGGGAAAATCGCATGCAATTTTTTCCACTGCTGACTTTGAGTGAGATTATAAATGTAAAGTGAGTAAATTAATTGAATTAAGTATTGTGATTTTGCAAATATGATTAAAGAATTACTAATGTACAACGCCAGCATTGAATTTGACATTTCAAACATGCGGCAGCTCTATTCAGAAACCTAAAAAATACTCCTTAATGTTGCGTCTAAATCCGTTCCGCCGTTTCTAAGTGAAGGGGGGTTCCGCATGGAGTCGCTAAGAAAAGCACTAACTTCGAAGTAACGGTGCATATCTGATGACCTTCACAAAAATGCCTTGTGAGTATTGCATTCAAACAAATATATGTTGATAGATATAAATTTTCGAATAGATGGCAACCCCAAACAAATATATTTTTAAACTAAAGTTTTTTTAAAATTCTTACGCATGACACCATATTTTAAAATTTCATTTAACTTGTGTATGAGTTGTAAATAAATTCCATTTTTCGAACAGGTGGCAATCATATTTAAAAGTATTTTCAAACTGAAATCGTCTTAAATCTCTTTCGTTTGATATTGTGATACATATTTCAATTAACTGATGAATTAAATTGGATTTGATTTTTGAAACACATGGCAACTCTCCCAAATAGAGTACAGAAATAAACCCCCTTTCAATCACATTTTGCTTGATACCAAACTTTTAATAATTAATTTTACTTATGAAACAATTTGAATTAAACTTTTGCAACAGTGGACAACCCTTCTCAATCATTTTAGAAAATTGTATCTGTTCAAACTAAAGATTTCTTACCACTCATTTGTTTGACACCCATATGTTATTATTTCATATAACTTGTGTCTACACAATTTAAAGTAATTCGACTCTTAAAGAAGATAGCAACCCTCTTCAAAATATTTTAAACTTAAAACTGTTTCGTCTGGCGCCCATAGGGTGATATATTTTTCAACCACCTTAATTCAAATTGAAATTGGTTTTTAAACCGGTGGCAACCCTCTTGCATTTAGTTAAGAAATTAAGATTTTTTAGACCCATTTCGAATAATAATCATATTCCAGTAGTTGCTTTTTTTTATAACTTGAACTGAGTTTTTTAAAGGGTGGCAACCCTTTTCGAAAATGTAAAACGTGAACAAATGTGATGACGTGAACAAAGAATCCTTTCCCGTATTAGAGATATAGGTGATTTGTGGTTTAGGAATTATGAACTATGGACTAGGAATTAAGAATTCTGAATTATTAGTTATTAATAATGAATTCTTATGAAACAAGAATTTTAAATTGTGAATTACGAATTGTGTGTTATAAATCATAAATCACGAATTATGATCTAAGGAGTATGAGTTGTGAATAACGAATTATTCGTTATAAATTATGAACTATAAATTACAAATTCAGAATTATGAATTCTGAACTACGAATTATTAATTATAAATTATGATGTAGAAATTCTGAATAAGCAATGATAAACTGTTAATTAGGGATTACAAAGTATGAACTATGAATTATGGTTTAAGAATTATGAATTAGGAGCTATGTAGCATTAACTTTAAATTACGAATTATAAGTCATGTATTATGAGTTATGAATTATAAAGTGTGTATTATAAATTATAAACTATGTATATCAAATCAGGGTTAATAAACTATTAGGGATTAGTGATGAGTTGTGTGCTATGAACTATGAATTAAGAATTATAAAATTATTAGTGGTTTAAAATGAATTATAGTCTAGGAGTTATGACTTATTAACGAATTATAAAACTTGTTTTTATTATTAAACAATCAATTTTAAATTATGAATCGTGTATATCATGGAATTAAAAATTATAAACTATTTATTTATTTATAATTCAATTATGACTTTGGATTACGAATTATGAGTTATGAAGTATGTATGAGTTACGGATTGTTTAATTGAAGTGTTTAATTGTAAATGATAACTCATGAATTATGAATTATAAATTGTGAATTATGGATTAAGAATTAAGAATTAAGAATTTTTAGTTTTTGAATCATGCATAAAATTATCTATTAAGACTCATGAGTAAAAAAACCAAAAATTAATAATCGCGAAACTTTTAATCATAAACATTGAGTTATGTGGTATGAGTTATTATGTATTACGAAATATGACTCATAAATTATTAATTATGAATTATAAATCATATATTAAAAGTTATGAATTTTCTACTATTTATAAATGATGGGTTAAGAAGCAAGAATTGCGAACTATTATTTAGGAATTGTAAATTGCAAATTTTGAATTGTGAATTATGAATTATGAGCTTATAATTAAGGCAGATGACCTATGAATTGTGAATAACGATTTTTTTGATTAAAAATGATGAATTATAAATTGAGAATTCTGACATTGGGTTGTGAGGTGTATATTATCAATTTTGACTTATCAATTAAGAATTATGGATTTAAATTTACGAATTATGGCAATTTTCCAACTGATACTCATAGTTCATAAACCTTGGCTTTTTAATAAAACTTTCTGCAACTTAAAATTTTGTATGAGTTCCGATAATTGGAAAACAAAGCGAAAGTGACAAAGAATTTGCAATAAAATCCAATAAAAACACTGCAAAGAAAAGTGTTTGTTGTATGAGGGAATGAGTTTTAATTGCTGTTACTGAAAGCCAACAAAGTATTTTTATCAGTACCAGTAAACATATATACATTAGGGCTGGTCAATTTGTATGGGATATTTTTTCGACTCTGCGCTTAAAGCACATGAGGATGCTACGTGTAATTATAAGCAAATTTACCGAAGAAACCACAGATCTAAAATTTATTCGCAGTTTGCTAAATCTCGAAAATAGGTTTCTTAGCATTTTTCTGCTGTGAGGTAAAGAAGCGCTAAATTACAAAAAAAAAACTGCTATAAAGCGTTTTTTGCTATGAGGAATCCGTTTCTGCACTTATCTTTTTCTTAAACCTTCCACTAGAGGACGCATCAGTGATTTCAGATTTTCTTCGAAACTTATTTTGCAATTTGGCATAACCCAAATTGATTTTAGACCTATGGTTTCTTCGGCAAATTAACTTAGAATCACACGAGGCATCTTTTTGTGCTGTACGCACATAGTAAAAAAATATTGACCCACCCTAACATACATACATATGTACATAATTTTTTTTTTATATAAGTATGTACATACATATGTTTGCCCATTACATACCAGTGATAA